AGCCAAGCCCAAGAAAGTCAAAGTGTTAGTCGCTCAGGCTCTTTACAATCTCATGCACTGTAGCCCACCAGGCTTCTTAGTCCTTGGAATTCTCAAGGCAAGAACACTGGAGTCAGTTGCAATTCCCTCCTCCAGGGGATCTTCCCAATCCAGGGATCAAACCCAGATCTCCTGTATTGCAGGCAGATTCTTCACCGCACGAGCCACCTTAAGAAAAAGCATTAATTGTTATCAGGATATCAGGTTATGGCCTCTTAAGGGGGCCCACCTGAAAAAAGGGAACACATGAAAAGCCAAGGTGGTAAAACACTGGTGATTTTTAAATTAAGAGTCACCAAAGGGCTTCCCAAACGGCAGAGTGGTAAAGAACCCACCCGCCAATGCAGGAGATGGAAGAGACATGGGTTCCATCCCTGGGTTGGGAAGATCCCTTGGAGAAGGGAATGGCAACCTGCTCCGGTATTATTGCCTGGAAAATTCCATGAAGAGAGGAGCCTGGCGTGCTACAGTTCGTGGGGTTATAAAGAGTCGGACATGACTGAATGATGGAGAACACACTGATGATAACATCCCCTAATAATAACAGACATTGCAAAAAAGGTCCACTGTTTATATCCGCTCTGATGCAACTATATTATAAAGTAATCAAGAGAAAAGCAGGTCTGACGAAGCCTTGCTGAACTGTTTATTTTCTGTGTAGGTCTTAGAGGAGAACTTGGTTACTTTAAATAACTTAAAACAACTGGGATTCATTAAGAGAAGTTCCACAATGCATTTAGTTGTTTGCATTCCTTTAAATTCAGCTTAATATTATGCTCTTCTTTGGGGGGGGGAACCTAATTTTTAATAAGTATCTATTTATTTACAATTTAAAAGTTATATGCTTGAACTAAAAAAACTGAATCAAGAGATATATGCCCAACATGACTACTGGTTCACAGAGTCACAATTAACTATATATACCATCCTTTACTCCACGGCTTAAATGACAAACCTATCACTTAAAAGAAAAAAAATCAACTCTTGAAAAGCTAACCATGCAAAACCAAGCCTCAAATACGACAGGTAACATCACAGACATTAATATCGATGGCATAAAATATAAATCAGCTGTTCTTTATTCATCACTAATTCTAAAGTAACTGTCACAAAGTGAAAACTCTGTTTCTTGCCTGGATGGAGTGAGGTGTGAAAAAGAAAAGGAATCAGGTTTAAAAAGGTGATGATTCTTAGCTGGAATACAAATTCTGGATACAAGAAAGAAAATTGACTATCATTCAGTCAATTCACCGTATCACTTTTATCAGTTAGGATGCTCTGGCTGCAAGGGGAGGAAACCTGTCCTCCATCGTTTAACCAAAAAGGAACTGATTTTCCTGCCATTACGAGTCCAGAAATAGACAGTCCAAGGTCAGCACAATAACCCCAAAGGATCCCAGCTACTTCCTTCCACAACCACACTCAACTCTGCCTTTGTAAACAGAAGACGCTAAACCCCAGGAAATGCACAAATGTCCAAGGGAAGTCGTTGAAAACTCCACTTGCAGAAAAGGACAAAAGCCAATGAGCTGTTTCAGAAAAAGTCTGCAACCTCACTATGGAATTTCAAAGGGAGAAGGAAAAGAAGAGGAAAAGGGAGAGGGAGAAGAAAGGAAAATCAGATACTGTCAACCTCAACAAAATAACCAAAACTTTCTGGGCTAAATGTCACTAAATGTTACTTCAATATTATCCAACTGCTGCAAATGCCAATTGAAGCACAAAGTCAATTTTCAATAAAGTGTAACGGTTAAGGGCAGAAACTCTGCAGTCAAATCGCTTATGCTCAAATCTCAACTTCCACTGCTGAGTCACTGTGTGACCTTAAGAAGGTACTTAGCTTCACTAAGCCTCAGTGGCTCACAGTGGGGATAACAATAGTCCTTACTTTGCAGGATTACAGCTCAGACCAAGTGAGACAGCACCTGTAGAAAACAGCACAGCACCTGCACACATTTGATGTGTGTCCCAAATCCACCTCTTATCTTTTGAGCAGTATGGCCATCATCATCACCACTGTACCTTGGCATAGCTCAACAGACATTCAGTTACCTGCCTGACCTTAATAACTGAAGTCTTTCTGCTCTGCTTCTTTCAGCAAGGCACAGATAGAAAGCAGCATGGAGCAGTAAAATCCAAAAGCTCTCCATCAAAATTTTCTCATCTACTGAACCCTTGGGCAATTTAAATATGAATCTTTTTTATTCTTTTCTTCCAAATGTTCCTCACATATTCAGCAAGAATCAGATATTTCACAGATAAAAAATTATAAGTTCAAAATTCAAAGAAAATTACCTATCTTTGAGCAAGTTATAGAACTAAGGCTGTAACTGGGACTAAAGCCCACATCAGGCTGATTTTAAGTCCTTCATTTAAGTGGCAATTTTGGCCCTCTTAAGAAATCTTACATCTACTGTTGGAGACTGAGTGAGCATCAAATTTACTTAAATGCCGGGTGTTTTTCTACTCTCTGGGTCCTTGGACAGCACCTCAGTCTGGTGCCACGTGAAGACTGCTCTCCTAACAAGCGTTTGCTCAATCACTCCAGTGAGGGTCATTCTAGGCCTCCTCTCTGTATGGAGTTTCTCCTGGCACCTAAGTCCTCCTCACAGGGACTCCAGTTCAGGACCATAACCAGCTGTGTGGTCCCTGAGACCCTTGCACAAGGTCGACAGGATCAAAACTATTTTCATAGTAACTGTCAGACCTGCAACGGAGTAGCTGCAGCAGAGACCACATGGCCCACAGAGTTTATTTGTTATCTGACCCCTGATGGAAAAACTTCGCCAATCTCTGCTTTAGAACATCAATCTTTCAAAAGGTGATGCTGATGTTCCTTCTTAAATGACACAGAAGATGTTGCATTTTGCATCAAAATATACCTCTTATTAAAAAAAAAATGAAGTTTGTATTAAAAACACTTAGAAATCTTCAAACCAAACCCTGAAAAAAAAACTGATACAACCCTCCGGAGGTTATGTAACAGCTCTTCTCTCGTGGTTTAAGATTTTACCATGAGATTCCCCAGGACTACCTACCAAAGCCAAATCTCCATCAGCGTCAAGAGACTACAAATCAGGCTGGACAGGGGTAAGACCTTTAGAGAACACCCACAAAGATGGGTGACTTCTGCTGCCTTCTGTGAATGAATATCTAGTATGGAACTCACCTTCCTGCCATGAGTGACCATAAGGCCAGGCAAAATATATGAAATGATTGCTTTCAGGCATTGAGACAACAGGCAGGGCAGAACTGGGATTCCTGCGAAATCAAGTGAGGTAAGTCCTCTAACTGCTCTCCTCCCTGCAGAAAGGAGGGAGAATCTAAGTGGAGCACAACAGTCTGGAAGGCCCCAACAGACAGAGACCGGAGTTCAAGCTGCTGAGCATCAGGGGTTTTGCAAGACAGAGCACAGTGAGGGAGGCATGCAGAGAAAGCCCTTCAGGAATCTATACAGATTCCTCCTAAAAGCTAAGTCAACCCTAAGTGACGCTACACCATGTGCAAGCTCAGTCGCTGAGTCACGTCCAACTCTTTGAGAATCCATGAACTCTAGCCTGCCAGGCTCCACTGTCCATGGGAGTTTCCTAGCAAGAATACAGGAGCAGTTTGCCATTTCCATCTCCAGAGGATCTTCCCCACCTAAGGACTGAACCCGTGTCTCCAGCATTATAGGCAGATTCTTTACCACTGAGCCACGCAAGAAGAGAAAACGACACTAGACCTGTCCTAACGAAGTTTAATAACAAGTCTGGAATGGATCAACCTAATTCACAAACTACTTAGCTGCCAACCAAAACAAAGGTCAATACTCTTCAAAGGAAGATGACAAATCCCAGAAACTCAACAACATAATGTACTCAAGCAGTAATGGACAGAGCTGACAGAATCAGCAGACGAGGCTATTATAAATGCACTTCATGTGCTCGAGAATACATAAGAAAACATGAGCATAATGGAGAGAAAAATTAGATTTCATTTCATTCTTTTTTATGTCTTCTAAAGCTCTAAAAAGTCTCTGAAATTAAAAGTCCCCTGGATAGACTTAGCATATTAGACCCTTGAAAAGACAGGACTAATGAACATGAAGACACAGCAAAAGAAACTATTCATACTGAAGCCAAGGAGAAAAAAAGACTTGAAAAAAATCACCCAAGCCTCAGTGACTTATGGGACATTACCAGGCAGTCTAACATACATGTAATTGGAGCCCCAGAAGAAGGGAGAGAAATAGTAGCAGACATTTTTTCCAAATTTGATCAAAACCATGAGTCTACAAATCCATAAAGCTCAAAGAACACCAGAGAGAATAAACAAAGAAAGGCATATCACAATCAAATTGCTGAAAAACAGTGATAGTAAAAAGAAGGCAGAAACATTATGTTGTTCCCCCGCTTCTTTCTGTGATATAAAATAAAAACAAATCTAAATCAAACAAAGCAAATAACATCTTCCTAGATCTTCTGGTCAAAAAATTGTGTTCAAGTTTAGGAAAACTGAACTTTTCTCATTTTATTGTAGAGGCCTTCCTTTCAGTACCCCTAGCATCAGCTTAGTCTGTCTACTGAGTAATTAAGCATGAACAAAATATAGTTAAATTACTGAAGAATAACTATCACAATGCTATATACCATACAGTTCACAAATATCACATACTTTTGATTGTATGCTCCTTGAAATCAGAAACCTGCATGTTTCAGCACATAAATTTCTAGTGCAGTTTCTAGTGGTTTGAACATAAGGGTTTGAACACATAGAAATGAGTCAATCTCATCTCATCTTCAGTACATTACTATGCAGTATACATACAACAAGATGAGAAAACAGATGCCCAGAGGGTTAAATGAGTGTCCCAAGCTCACCCAAAAAGGTGAGTGGTATCTCACATCCCTAGAGCAATGCCACCGCACAGGGTTACCTCAAAACAGATACAAAAGAAAGAAGTTTTCATTATTACTTACTCTGAGTTTCCACGAGATCCAAAGCCACACTAAAAGCTGTGTCCATTCCAGAGCTGATACAGGCTTGGAAGTTTTTCAAGGAGGACAGTGCAGATTCTACACCACTGAAGGATATAAAACCGGCTGAACCTGAACCTGAACTTGAAGTGGAACGCCCCGGCATCTTGAAATTATTACCTAAGTTTTCAAACACAGTGAAATGAGATTTATGAATAAGAATAATAACTGCATAGGAAAACAGAACCACTAGAAATATCCATATGAGTGTATCCAGTATCTCTACAAATGCTACACTATTCTATAGCTGTTGAAAGTCTATCAAAGCATTGTGCCATCATCTGGGCCACCAAACAATATCTGCCCTTTTAATATACAGGGAAGGCAAGTGTTCTCATTTTTTAAAGAAGGAATAATACCCTCTTCCAAAAGATTCCCTGATTCTCTAAAGAATTCAACAAGAGCTCAGTTCCTCAAAACCTAAAACAAAAATGGGTCAGAAAGAGTAGACTGCTCCTATGATGCATTTTTCCAAAAAAAGAAAACAGCAGCGATAAAATCGTTTAATAAGGGAGAATTTTCAAAACCTGCAATTTTTAACTTATCTGACATATTAGTACTGATTTCAAGCCAGTGAATTAGAAGCCACCTCCAGGCCCTGGCATAAAAACCGAACTCTCTCTCTACACCATCCAATTTTACAGCTTGAAACAGACAAACAATGACCTTAGGAGTCACATACTGAAGATGGAGAATCACCAAATGGAAGGAGCCGAGGTTTCCACATCACTGCCTGGAGGAAAACTGCCCACCAGTCAGGTTCCATGCATGAAGGAAATTGAAAAGAACTTCAGTTTTGCAAAGCCATTTAGATTTGGGGGTACACCTATTATTACAACACCAGCTGTTGTTCAAAAAAACACAACCCTGCAAGGATCAAATGATATGGTTCAAGTATTCAGTTATCTGGGAGGTCAATCTTGATTCTAGTATAAGTCTAAATTGTCTAGAACAGCACTATCTAAAAAAACTTCTTTCTTCCATGACAAAAATGTTCTTCCTATAGTCTGCATTGTCCAATATGGAAGCCACCATGAGTGTGTGATTATTATTTAGCAGCGATTACTGATGGTCACAATAGCATCAGGAGCCTGACAGAAGAACTGAGTTTTTGTTGTTGTAGTTTTTTTTTTAAGAACTGAGTTTTAAATTTTATTTCATTATAACCAATTTAAATTTAAATAGCCATACCGTAAGTCAACTACACTTAAAAAAAATTGTAACATATCTTCATTGAAACAGATTTAGAAGTCTTTTTATAGCAATACCCAACTTTAAAAAAAATAAAATCATTATTCTTGGTACATAATCACATTCTTTAATCAGTTTATTAGCCATATCTGTCTTTAATGCTACGACATGGGTGTTTTTGAAGATGTATTATCTCAATGTGCTCTTATTAATTTTTCATAGAATTTCCTGAAATTCTCTTCAAAACTGCATGCCATTCTTATGAATGTGACGCTGTTGACACCTTCAAATGTTTCTTTTCTGAAGACCATTCTTTTTAAAAACTGTAAAATACTACAAGTAACCTTCTGTGAAGTTCAGAAGTAATACTTCTAAATGGAGAATGTTTTCTATTCTATTCTCATTTTTCAGATAGATTATGTAAATATTTCATCACTAATATTTTTACCTATCTTTGCCTCTATTCAGAGGATCTCTGTTCAACAAATATCTTTTATAAAACCAAACTTATCAAGTAAGTTACCTATTATTATTTTTGTCAATGCTCTGCTATGTAGAAACAATGCAAAAAAAAAAATTAAATAACCACATGTGTCCAGTGGCTACTGCACTGGGCAGCACCATTCTAGAAATACAATCATCAAAGTATAATATGTATATAACATCACACACACACATACATACATACATACTAGGGGTTAGGCTAGTCATGGTATGAACAGGACATATCTTCCTAAAATATTAATTTTACTTAAAGAAAACATGAAACACATTTATATTAAACAAACATTAGTTACGTTAGACAGTAAAACATGGGGGCAATACTAGCAGGAGTTAACTACTAACAACTCCAGTAAGGGTTCAACATGTAGCCTCTGGAGGCAGACTATGTGAGTTTAAAGCCTGAGTTTGCCATTAAAGTAACTGAATAACTTGCGACAAATTATTTAACCTGTCAATGCTCTCCTTTTCCTTTCTGTAACATGAGGATGATCCAGTGCCAGTATCAAGGGTTACTGGGAGGACTAAATGAGTTCACTTGTTTAACAAAACACTCAGAATAATGCCTGGCAAATCATCTTTTAAAATGAGAACAAATATCACCATTGACTTAATCATCACTGTGAGGAGCAATACAGAATAGTGCATAAGTGAAATGGACCCTGGACACCAATGCCTGGAAATTCCACCTGTCCACACCACTCAAAACTGCATCACTCTGGTTGAACAGCTTAACTTCTCTATCTTCGGTTCCTCCCCGCCCCCACCCCATGTAAACGAAGATAAGCACATCTATCTTACAGCATTATAGTAAGGATAAATTAAATTTTGTAGTTTTCTCAAACATGTCTGATCTTAAGAATCAGTTGAAATACTTTCTAAAAATACAGATTAATGGATACTATCTCAGACCTACTGAATCAGTCTCTAGTGGACACTCTGAGGAAACGATATTTTTATGAAGCACCCCCACATAATTCAAGTATGGTAAACACTGAGATAATTGTGCCCTCCAAAATTCATGCTTAGCCTAACTTCCAATGTGATGACATATGAAGATGGAGCCTTTGGGAGATGATCAGGTTTAAATGAGGGGGGAGCCCTCATGATGGAATTGGCATCATTAGAAGAGGAAGAGACACAGGGCCCACTCTTTCTGTCCTTCATGTAGATTTACAGGAAGGTGGCCATCTGCAAACGAAGAGAACCCTCACCAGTATTCAACCACACCAGCAACTTTTAGTCTTCAAAACTGTAAGAAATAAATTTCTGTTGCTTAAACCACCAGTCTATGATAATTTTTAACAGGAGCCTGAAGTAAGACACAATGTATATAAGGATTAAGGGCTTCCCTGATAGCTCAGTTGGTGAAGAATCCGCAATGCAGGAGACCCGGGTTTGATTCCTGGGCCTGGAAGATCTGCTGGAGAAGGGATAGGCTACCCACTCCAGTATTCTTGGGCTTCCCTTGTGGTTCAGCTAGTAAAGAATCTGCCTGCAATGCAGAAGACCCAGGTTCGATGACTGGATTGGGAAGATCCCCTGAAGAAGGGAAAAGCTACCCACTCCAATATTCTGGCCTGGAGAATTCCTTGGGCTGTATAGTCCATAGGGTTGCAAAGAGTTGGACATGACTGAGCAACTTTCACTTTCACTTTTTCACCTTCATATATAAGGATTAATATAATCCAGGACAAACGGAAATTATCTACTACACAATAGCCATCCTTATCATATGAATGCAAAATTCACATTACTCCAATGGAACTTTACACTTGCAGACAGTTGACGAAAAACATCTTTCCGTAATTCTGAACTATTAAGAGGAACGATTCAGATCCAAAAGCAAAGAGAAATGGCTTTTCCCTATCTCTGACAGAGGAGCCTGGCGGGCAATAGTTCATAGGGTCGCAGAGTTGGACACGACTGAAGTGACTTAGCATGCAAGCACAGCTAAGTACATAAGTCACAGGGCAGCCTGCCACAACAAAGAATTATTTGTTCCCAAATGTCAGTGCAGTAGTCCAGAAACCTTGGTTTAAACTAACCACTTCTTGAAGCCTTCCTTGGGGATCAGTGATTATTCTGTTCTCTATACCTATGGTTTCAAAGAAAGCTTAAAACAGGGTTACCCACTTCCTGAGTTTTTCCTCTAGTATACTATGTTGCCTTCCCTAACAGGCCTTGTCTTCACCAGTTGGTGCTGCTGTAACAAAATACCGCAGACACAGTAACATATAAACAACAGAAACATTTCTACAGTTCTGGAGGTTATGAAGTCCAAGGTCAAGGCACCAGCACAGTGCATTCTGCTGAAGGCCCTCTTCCTGTGGTTCATGGCCAAGGCTTTCTAGTTCTGTGTCTTTACATGGTAGAAGGGGTAAGGGAGCTCTACAGGGCCTCTTTTATAAAGGCATCAAGCCTACTTGGAGGGCTCCATCCTCACGATCTAAGCACTTCCCAAAGGCTCTAGTGCCTAATTACCATCATCTTGGCTTTGGGAATTCAACATATGAACTGGGGGTGGGGTGGGAGAGGATATAAACATTCAGACCACAGCAGGTCTGTAAGATTCTCTGTAGATGGGGTGGCAAATAATCAGCTAATGTAAAAATAAAAATACTCCTCTCATCTTTGTGTACAGCAAGTGGTAAGCACACAGAAAATAACCGAGATACTGTGCTGACCACCTTTAAATCCATAGGGCCCTACAAAAGTTCAGCCACCAGAGCTGTACCTTCTTTTTCAATATGCAAGGTTACATCTTTATGAAGCTTTCTCTTATCCATACATACAAGCAATTGCTTGTTTTCTTCTTCATGCTACTACTATCCCCCTCCCCCACCTCACACACATATTCTACTTTAAAACTCATCACAACTACTTGCTCACATGTCTGCCACTCTTTCACCCTGGGAGCAACTTAAACTAGAATTCTGACATATTCCACATTACATAAAACAGCCCCTCACACAAAATAGGCAACCAATAAAAATCTGGAAGAGTTACATCAATAACAGAAACCACTTCTATGTCCCCTATAGCATGCCATGAACTGGTGTCCCTAAGCTTTGCTCTCATTATAGTTAATCCTCACAACCATTTACAGGAGAGGAGAGAAAAGTAAAGTGACGCCCGGAGAGTTTATTTCAACTATGTGCCCAAGGCCCTGCTTTGAAAGCCAGCTCGAACCAGATTTATTTAGATTAAGAATTCGGGACCTCACACTACTATATATAAACTAAAAACAGAGTCCTACTGTAAAGCACAGGAAACTATATTCAATATCTTAATAATCTATAATGGAAAAGAATCTGAAATATATATACACATACATATCTGAATCACTTTGCTGTACACCTAAAACACACTGTAAGTGAACAATATTTCAATAAAAAATAATTCATGATCTACACATTTAGAGCCAAAGAATGGAGAGATGGCGTCTTGGGAGAGTGAGGTCAACGGCCCCAGCCTCCCGGCAGTGACCGTGAAAAGAACCACGACCATAACCCAGGTCCACAGATCGCAGCTCCGGGCACCCTCGGAGCGCCCGAGAAGGAGGCGACACCCCTCGTCACCCTCCCCATCGCCATTCCTCGCTCCTGCCTTACCTGGCTGCCGGATGTAGCTCTTGTCCGGCTGCGCCCGGATTCCCCACGCCCGGACCCCAACTCCTTCCTTCACTCCCTTCCCCTGTCGCTGAAACGGCCAGCGCGGGCTCGGACGTCATCAGTCGTCGCCGGCGAGCGGTCACATGACGCCCCGCCGCTCCCCGCCCCTCTGTCATGTGACAGCCGAGGGACCAGGGGCGGAAGCCGGGGTCTGGCTGGCTCAGGATCAGGGCTGGGGGTAGAAGAGGAAGGACCCTTGCGGAGACGTAGGGGTGGGGGCCGGCGTGCAGACTCCGCGCACGACCGCGGGCCCTGCGCGTGCGCCCTGGCGCGGCCCGGGTGACAGGTGAGTCCAGGCAGTGTGCGCGCGCCGCCTCCTCACGTTCCCCCGTCCCCTCCCCCGCCCCGGGGCTGGGCCGCGCTGGCCCTGGAGCGGAGCGTGGGGGATTCTGCGGCGTGGGGTGGGGTCTGGATGGGGGAGCCTGGCGTAAGAGGACTGGGGGTTTTCCTGGAACCGCGGCTGCAGTCCAGACTCTGCATCTCCACTCAGGTGGAAGCAGTTTTCCACGCTGCTTTGGCGCTTTAGGAGGTGATGATGTTCAGCTGCTTCGTCTGCATCTGATCCTTCCAGGTTTCCGGGAGTAAAGCCTTGTGGACGCTGTGATTCCTCCATTTACTCTCCAGAACCCTGAGTGGTTGGTGGAAGCGTTTACAGTCTGACGGACCTCGGTTTGAATTCTAGTTTTGCCATGGGCTGAGTTTGGGCAAGTCATTGCTGCTCTCTGCACCCTTAATTGCCTCACCTGTGACACGCCAAAGTCCTTTGCATTAAAAATAATAATAATTCTGAGGGTCCTGATTTGTCTGTGGTACTAAAGTAGTGAATTGAAAGTCGCTCACTCGTGCCCGACTCTTTGCGACCCCATGGACTATGCAGTCCATGGAATTCTCCAGGCCAGAATACTGGCGTGGGTAGCCTTTCCTTTCTCCAGGGGATCTTCTCAACCCAGGAATCGAACCCAGGTCTACCCGCATTGCAAGCGGATTCTTTACCAACTGACCCACAAGGGAAGCCCAAGAATACCGGAGTGGGTACAGTTAGAAAAACAGAAAACCCAGAGCCGGTAAGGGAACTGGGTCTCCTGATAGATTCCCAGTGCGTGGAGCTTCCTCCGGCCTAAATGTTGCCGGGAGGAGGGAGAGCCATCATTGCCTTTGTCCGCTACAAGGAACACCTTCCGATTTTTTTAAATTCTGTTTCAGGATCCAATAATCAAACTAAAGTGATTAGGCTCATTTTAGAACTTTCCTGTAAGAGATGAACCCATAGCTTTTATCTTGATTAACCACCAGTGCAGTTTATTCTTGATAATGGATGGGTGGGGACTAGTGCTCCGTTCTATATGGAAATGAGGTTTTTATGAAAGGATTAAACTAGATCAATCTTCTTTTTTCCTCTGTGTAGGATAAAGAATGATTCTTCCCAGGGGACTTTAATTTTCATAATTCAGTTCTGTACTCCTTGGGCAGTTGGTATAATGCTGCCATGCTTCATTCTTGAAAGCATGTTGTCTTTTGCCTAGAATTACTTTCCAAACTAAAAATCACAGTTCCATACCAGTTCTTTAAAATGAAGTTACAGCCGCTTTTCTGGGTGCCTTATGAAAAGAAAATTAGGAAATTGAGTGAAATTTCTGGTTTCATTTCATGGCAAATAATAAGACAACCTACACTGAGATAAGTGGTCATTATGAATTGTCTTCATTCCTAGCACCAGGAGAACCTCTAAAAGGAAGATTAGTATATTATAGTTTCTTCTACCATGCTTATTCCCACCTCATTCTAGAGTGATTTTTTTTGGTCTCAACTAAATCTTAACATTTGTAAAGCCACCTGCCTCTGAGATCACTGCAACATGATTAGGCATATTTAATGATGCTTCTTAAATTCTATTCTTTAGGACCAGTTTTTCAGCCAACAGTGGAGCTATTTACCAAAGACTTTGTTGTCGTTTAGTCGCAAAGTTGCATCTGACTCTTTGAGGCCCCATGGACTGTAGCCCGCCCGGCTCCTCTGTCCATGGATTTTCCCAGGCAAGAACACTGAAGTGAGTTGCCGTTTCCTTCTCCAGGGGATCTTTCCAACTCAGGGATTGAACCCTCGTCTCCTGTCTTGGCAGATGGGTTTTTTACCACTGAGCCACCAGGGAGGCCCACCAGAAACTTTAGTCAAACGTGAAGTTGCCTTGACGTTGCCTTCAGTGTAACTCATGGGTAAAGGGGATTTAAATAAGACACAGACACGCCAGAGTTTTGACTTATGTCATTATCCCAGGCCTAAGCCTCCTTGACCACGTGCATGCATGTGCCCAGTGAGTCTGTCTGTTGGGAAAGAAGGCAGGTCATGTTGCTTTGTTTTAAGCTGTTTTCTCTTGGCCACACTGCCCTGTCTTGGTATCCAAATGGTAGCAGTTAGACCTGTTCATTGTAAGCGCCCTGCTTCTGAATTGAGTCTAGAATTTCATCCTGCTGAAACCTGGGTTAGTTTGGTGTTCTTCAGAGGACTTCAAGTGACTCTTGTTCCCATTTTACTTTATTTTCTTCTTGTCTCATTTTGCAAGCCAGACCATTTCTGTAGGAAAAGTGGAATGAAATTATCTGAAATTCAGCCTACTAGGGATCAGTGTGACTCAACAAGCAAGCTTCACAGAGAAAACTGAAGGGACTTGTTAATAATTTATGCCTTAATGTATATTATAGACAACCCTTGTGCGAGAGAGTTCTGGGTAACTGTAGTGGCTCCTCCGTAATCCCTGCTATGGGCCCAGCTCCACCTCCCCTATCTCTGCTTCTGTCCCCAGCTCACTCCCCACCAGCCACATCAACTACTTGTTCTTCCTTGCACATTCCTACCCCGGGGCCTTACTTGTACTTCCTTGTAACTCCTTCCTGGAATGCCCTTCTCATAGATCATCATCTAAACTTATCTTCAAACCTAGTGGCTTTAAAACAGTATAAACATTTTTTTTCTTTTTTTTTCTTAATTTGTATTGGGGTATAATTGATTTGCAATGTTGTATTAGTTTCAGCTGTACAGCAAAGTGAATGTGTTATACGAATACATATATCCAGTCGTTTTTCTATTCTTTTCCCATATAAGCCATTACGGAGTTAAAAAAAAAAAAAGTAAGCATTTATTGTCTAATTAATGTTTGTAGTCAGGAGTCAGCTGTGCGACTTAGCTGGTGCCTTTGGCTCAGGGGCTCTTGGGGGGTTGCGGTCAAGCTATGAACACAAACTGAGATCCGGGGTGGAGGGTGGGGGGATCCGTTTCCCAGCTTACTCAAGTGGTGAGTGGCAGACTTCTCCTTCATCCTATGGTCTCCCTCCACAGGGCTGTCTTACACCATGACAACTTGCTTCTCCCAGGACCCATAAGCTGGAAAGGGTTCTCAAGCCAGAAGTCACAGTCTTTTTTGCAGTCTAATGTCAGAAATGGCATCTTTCACATCCTCCACATTCTCTTCTTTAGAAGGGAATCAGTAAGTCACACTCAGGGAAAGAGGCCTAACAGGGCACGAACAGGGAGGACCCTCTTAGAGACCTCAGATACCCTTCCAGCTTGCTCCCTCACTGGCTTCTGATCTCTGCTCAAATAATCATCTTAATCAGAGACACTTTTACAAACTGTGTAACATCACACACACTCCATCCCTTTACCATGCTTTTCTTTACGCATCGTCACAGCCTGATACATGGTTTATTTATTTATCTCTTTCCCACTGCCAGTAGTAGGTAGGTTTCATGAGAGCAAGAACTTAGTTATGTTCACTACAATAGCCGCAGGTCCTAAAACAGCGTTTCGAACATAGAAGGCACTGGATAAATATTTGTTGAACAAGTGAATCTATATTATTAAGAATGCTTTCATCTACAAATAATGCAAAACCCAGTTAACAGTAGATAAACCATAAAAGCAATCCATTTAACAAGGATTACAAGATGAGGTAATGCCACAGTTGAATCAAGGAATCAATAACATCAATAAGAATTTAGATTCTTTCCTTCCACAGCACTTGGTCAACTTTGCACCCATTCTTGGTTTGTCCACTGAGTACAGAGTTACTGCAATTTCACTCTCAATTTTGTTGGGCATAAAACTTAACTTTCATAAGTCTTGATGATATCATTTCAAGATACATTGCTAATCAGAACTTCCCCACTGCTTAGTGTGAAATATTTGTTCTTCGTTTAGAATCACCCTATCATAATTCTCAGGCATGTATTAGTCTCAATAGTGGGACCTCCTAAACTTGATGTTTGAAAAAAAGCATTTTTAAAGATTGTTCCCTCACCTAATTCTAGTAAGTTTTAGGACATAGTTACCTTTTCCCTTGGACCCACACATGCCTTATGACACCTTCTACCAAGCTCTGGGATCAGCCGCATCATGGCTTTTCTCATGGAGAGAAGTGAATAAAGTGTTGAGAAAGAGACCAAGAGTAATAATTTAGCAAAGTCCCTCCACAAGGAAAACATGCAGAGTGGAAAATAAATGCTCTCCCTCCATATCAGAAGTCATTATGTATTATAGTTTTTTTTCAGTGAATTTGAAAGAAAAATACTGTGTGTGTGTGTTTCACATCCTTCCTTCAAAGGATTAGAGATTTTTCATACTTTTTTTTTTTTTTTTGGTTGCAGGTCATTTAATGGAGTGGCCAATGTATCAACAGACCTGGTTTCATCTGATGACTTACAGACCCCAGCTCTGAAGCCAGTTACACATTCCCTGTGGCCAGGCCAGAGTAGCTGATTTTCCTCAAGATGGTAGACTTTCTGGCTGAGAACAACCTGTGTGGCCAAGCAATCCTAAGGATTGTTTCCTGTGGCAATGCCATCATTGCTGAACTTTTGAGGCTCTCTGAGTTTATTCCTGCTGTATTCAGGTTAAAAGACCGAGCTGATCAACAGAAATATGGAGATATCATATTTGATTTCAGCTATTTTAAGGTAATCTTCCTCGAAGCTTTTCTTACCAATCTTTTCTACAAAAGCGTGCTTTCTCTGGAAACCAGGAGACTCTGAGATGTTAAGTAATTATGGAGAAAGAGTT